GACATTATGATGAAACTAAGAAGGAGGATTCAAAGGAGTGAGTGTTAATGCCGGACATAATAGCATGTGCCTACAATCCCAGCACTAGAGAGGCTGAGGCAGGAGGACTGTGTCAGCCAGACTACGTAATCACACCTGTCACAAACAAAAGAGAACATCTATTATAGAGTTCCAGTGCTACCTTTTCACAAGTTCTAAGTCAAGGAAAACTATGTTATAATGCTAAAATTCAGGACATTGGCTTCCTTATGAAAATTACAAAACAATTTACTCTTCATTCATTCTCTCTCGATCACCTAATAGAGGTTCCATTGCACATTGTGAAGAAGGAGAGAAGGGCAAGACCTCTGTGTGGTTGACACTGTTACGTTTAGTTTTTCAATACTGTTGACTATAAAGATAAGATTCTGTTAGTTACCAGGCTCTACACTTAGAATGTACACTGTTCTGTATGTATTTCAAAATGTAAGTTTTAAAATACATTTCAGGCCAGGCGATAGTGGTGCATGCCTTTAATCACAGCACTCGGGAGGCAGAGGCAGTCGGATCTCTGTGAGTTCGAGGCCAGCCTGGTCTACAAGAGCTAGTTCCAGGACAGGCTCTAAAACTACAGTGAAACCTTGTCTTGAAAAACCAAAAATAAATAAATAAATAAATAAATAATACATTTCAGGTGTGTGAAAAGCTATACAAATAATAATAAGATTGCATCTATGTCTGAGACATTAAAAAAATATCCCAGTACAGTTGATGTGTGCCAATTCCCAATGGCATCCACCCGAGATAATCTCTCTCCTGAACTGAATGTCCATCACGCCTCTCTGCACTAGTTTATGCTTCTATTTCTTATATAAGTTCCAAATACAACAAAGTTTATTTCGTGTGTTTTAACACTCTATATATTTGGTAATTTAAGACTAGGTATGGTGGCACATATCTGCAATCCAAGCACTTAGAAACAGAAACAAGGGGAATGAAGAGTCCAAGGCCACTCTGGGATTCCACAGCAAGTTTGAGGTCACCCTTGTCTATATGACTTTATAAAAGAAGCTTGCTAAGAAAAGCACAAGGGAGCTTTGCAGGATGACGAAACTGTATCTTTTCCTAGGCTGTTGATCACGTGGGTTGTAGTGGACATTTAGGATGTATGTATTAGCCAGTTGCCATTTCATAGCTGTAATCCAACATTTGGAAAGCTGAGGCAAGAGGATTATGAATTCAAGTTCAGCCTGAGCTATGTAATAAGCCTTTGTTTCGAAAGAAAAATAAAGGAAAAATTTGTGTATTTTATTGTACCTAACTTTATCTTAACTATGATTTTTTTGTTGTTGTTCATTCCCTGCAGTCTCTCTCACTCTCAGGAGTCCTTTAGCACTTTTCATTAATAAATCTATGTTCACCCTGATGATGACGATAATAATAACAGATCATTCTAGATTTTTCTTAGGAAATGGATGGGGGTGGGCAAATGAAACTAGAGAGACAAGATCAAACACTGCAGCAGATCTGGTAATACTGCACTCACACAGTGAACAGTGAAGAAGGAAATACAGTTGTTGACAGTTCTTTGAGCTTAACCATGAAGTGGCGTAAAAATCAGAGAAGGAAATAAGTACAAAAACGATGAATTCTTAAATTCATCTGAAAGTTGAATTTAAGACTGAAGTTGACCTCGTAGAGAAGAAAAGACAAAAACAGACCAGGGTATAAGCATTAATAAAAAGCTAAGTCTTTGAGAAGGGACATGGTGATATTTTGTTTGTGCTCTAACAAATAAAGCTTGCCTGAAGATCGGAGGGTGGAGCTAGCCGCTAGTTAACCATAGAAACCAAGCAGTGGTGGCACACACTTTTAATCCCTTCACTTGGGATCTCATGCCTTTGATCCCAGTACTTGGTAGGCACAAGCCTTTAATCCCAGCAGTAGGGAGGAGGAAACAGGAAGTGATGTGGCTGGGCGGGGAGATGACTATAAGGCAGGAGAAGACAGGATTTCACCCCCTTTTCAGGCTGAGGAGCTGGCAAGGTTAGAAGTGTCTATATGGCTTGCTCCTTTGTCTCTCTTATCTTTCTTCATTTACCCCAATTTCTGACTCTGAGTCTTTATTATTAAGACCAATTGGAATTCACACTACAAAGGGATAGGATGCAAAGAGAGTTTTCTAATCTAATGGTTACTACTTTTTTTAATGAACATGAGTCATTCTCTGAAAGAGGTGCAGGATGGGAATTTTCAGGCCTATGGAGAATAACATGGTTTTGCATTAGAAAGAGCTGGGCAGATGTGGGATTCCCCTCTGTATGCCGTGAATATGTTTTATTACCGTCAATTAATAAATAAAGCTGCTTCGGCCAATGGCTTAGCAGAGCAAAGACAGGTGGGGAAACCTGAACAGAGTTAAGACAGAGAGTAGGCAGAGTCAGGGAGATGCCATGTATCTGCCGAAGGAGAAAGACACCAGTACGGAACCTTACCGGGTAAGCCACAGCCTCGTGGCGGTACGCAAATTAATAGAAATGGGTTAGTTTAAGATGTAAGAGCTAGTTAATAAGAAACCTAAGTTATTGACCAAGCAATGTTGTAATTAATATAGTTTCTGTGTGATTATTTGGGTCTGGGATGCCAGCGAAATAAATGAGTAGTCTCTGCCTACACTGGGCAAGTAGTCCAACATGGTAGGACAGCCAGTTATACCTCCAACAGATATCCAAAATTATACAATAGCATAGTGTGAGCCAAAAAGAATAGTGTTACTCGTCCTTGGTTGCCCGTGTGAAGTACAATGCCACCATTTAGTTATTCGGGTAATGGACGAAGAGTAAATTGTTTTGAAGGTACATTCTGTGTCATCTGGCATGTCCCAAGCAGAGCAGAAGGAACTACTTTTTTCGAAATAATTCACCTTAATTATAAATGTGTTTTTAATTCTTCTAACGTTTAGCGTTGAAAGTTCTTGGGAGAAAAAAATCAGTATTTCTGCCAATTTCATCAATTCTTCATTTTATCTAAAAAATATGCAGATCTAAAATTCTATTTAGGTGGGAATTCACCAATGAGTCAATTCTTGGAGGAACAAAAGATGAAATATAGCCTACATTGTAACAGTCACTTGTAACATAACTTGTAACAGTCACAAGGATATAGTTACTGACAAGCTGAGATCTTGACAAGAAGAATTAACCTGTATGCTGTCTTCAGGATATCCTGATAGTACCAAATTGCATGGGCACACAGAGTGAAGGATGCCTTTAGCCCAAGTATAGGAATCACAGGGTGAGCTCAGCCGAACCTGAATGTGCCCACAGCCACAGAAACACCAGCGGACAAGTGAGCACAACACGCTATTTATCACTTTCCAATTACAAGATGAAGAAAGGCTTATAACTCCATCACTCGCATCATGAATTGGTATTTGTTTTATGGCACTAAGGTCCACTTACAAGGACTCCAGTCATGGGAGAACTGTTTCTGGTTGGCTGAGCAGTCAGTGTCTGTGCATGTCACTCGTGGATGTACTTATGTATATCGAGTGCACACTCTGAGCTCCTGTTGCCACAGCCAGACTGTAAATGCATATGTTTTTGTCATTTTTAACTACAGTAATTCAGAACTTCAGCTGCCAACTTTGGTGACAATATTCTCACATCGGCAGTTCATGCTCCAGACTTAAAATAATTCCTTATTTGCTGTCAGAAGCCCCTGTCATGACAAAAAATATCAGGATCATTTTTTTTTCTAAATCACTACCCAAATACAACTACAATGTTTTTCTTGACAAACATTCCCTTTCCTATCGTTACCTTTATTTTAGTAATGATAAATGCTGGTCAAGCAGCAAAATAAAAGACATTTCAAACACAACAAACCACGCACAGCAGTGTTTTCAAGGAGAAATGGGGAAGAAACCTCAGCTACACGCCTGTGCATCCTCCGAGGCACTGTCATCTCAGAGGCAGAGGCATCAATTATTCTCCGCAGGCTGAAAGAGCTGCACATTTGAAGGTTCCGCCGGTCCACTAAGAAAAGAGGCAGCTATTTCTCTGTTTCATTAAACACAACAGGGTATAGTCCTGTGCTGGGTTGAAGTCACCAGCAGAATTCAACTGTGGGTATTGAGGTTTCATATTTTCCAGTTACAAATGAAACCGAATTGTTCTGTAGCCAGAGAGTATTAAAACTATACTCCAAGTTGTCATTTGCATATGCCTAAGGCCAAAGAGCAGCTCCACCTCAAAATCCTACACTCTTAGAGTCTGAAGAAACTCCAAGGATGGTCCTACACCACCCCCAAAGCAGCGTTTTTGGTTTTTGTTTTTTTCCTTCCCCAGCATCCCCGAAAGATGGTCAACCTCTGCTTCATTGCTCCACTGGGGGAGTTCTCGAGATCAGAGTCCTAGATTCCCAAGGAATATGACGAAAGACTAGAACCAGCCTTTAAGACAGGAGTAAGGCTCCAGTCCGTAAGCTTGCAGGAAACTGAAACCAGACTTTCATGAGAACAAAATTCAGAATTAGCATTCGTAAGAGTGCAGGGTTTAAGAAGCCAGTGCTAAAACCAGTCAAAGGCCTTACTTCATCCTCCAGAGTCTGGGAAGCACGGTGCCTTTTCCCTCTTAACTGATTTCTTAAAGAGAGAAATTATTTTGTGGGTCACAGCAATGGTTTGTCAAGCTAGAGAGCACCAAACCAAATTCTTTTAAAAATAAATAAATAATTAAAAAAAAGAACCCCCTGGTGGAATTGTTGGTGCTTTAAAAACTCTGGTCTTAGAATCATCACTACACTAAATCAGAAACAGTTCAAGGTTTCTTTTAAAGGTGTGCTTAGTCTGTGCTTGGAGTTGCCTGGTTGGTGTAAGGGAATGGGTGTGGGGTTGTATTTTAAGCTCAGCCCTTCATCCCACGGTGAAGTCTGGCTTGATCCTCCCAGGAAAGGCTGGCGCGGGCTCAGCGCCCAGCACATCCCCAGCGGAGCCTGGGACCGGGCCGCCTGACCCTTACCTGTCGATGCTGATCACGCACAGGGTCATGATCGAGGCCGTGCAGCACATGACGTCCATGGCGATGAAGACGTTGCAGAAGAAGTGGCCAAAGATCCACTTGCCCCCGATGAGGTCGGTGACGCTAACGAAAGGCATGACCGCCACGGCCACCGAGAGGTCAGCCAGCGCCAGAGACACAATCAGGTAGTTGGAGGGCTGGCGGAGCTTCTTGACGAAGCACACCGAGATCACCACCAGGCAGTTGCCCGCGATCGTCAGCAGCGTGATGAGCGTCAGGATGGAGCCGATCACAACTTTCTCGACTCTGCCATAGTTGATCTGCTCCCCGCAGCCGGAGACATTGTCCGGGGGCGCGTCCCAGGTGGGCGCAGGGCTAGCTGTCACCTCCGGGATGCCACTCAGCAGGTGCGGCATCCAGGAGCTCACCACTGAGTGGGCGCCACCGTCGGGGCTGAGGTCCTGCAGCCTGCGTCCCACCTCCGGCAGGATGAGCGAGCGGAGGTGGCCGTAGAGGTCGGGGCGGCCGCTGCTGTTAACGTCCATCATCGTGCCGAGCGCCGCTGCCCATGGAGCCGGCACCCCAGCCAAGCGCTCCGGCTGCCGGCCCCGGGGCTGGATTCACCTTGCCCGCTCGGCTCTGCGCGGCCCAGCCATGGGGGCCTGCGCTGGCCACTGGGGGGCGCCCGGCTCGGCCTGGCGACCCCGCACGTCCCAGGGTCCCCCCAGCCGCTGCGGGTGACGCGTGGGCGAGGACTCCCCGCGGGAGGCGCCAGCGGTCCCCGACGGGCGCGCAGGAGGCGCGGGGTTGGTGAACCGGCCCGGGCCAGGCTGACCGCACCGCAGCCCCGCAGCGGCGCGCGCCAGGGCCGAGAGCGCCCGCCCGGCGACCGCGGCCGAAGTTGCGGAGTGCGCCCCGCCCCTCGCGCCCGCCGCCGCCGCTCCCCTGCGGCAGCCGCGCCGCGTCCCAGCCGCCGCCTCCGGCCGCCGCCAGCTCCCCGCGCGCTCTGGGACGGGCTTCCCCTGCTAGGCAGCCCCGCCGCGCCACACGATGCCAATTCCCAGCCCCGGCTCGCCCTGCCGCAGACCCCCCCTTCTCCCCCAGCACCGTAGCAAATGACAAGCCGGTGGGGGAGGTTTGCTTTTCAAGAAGATTTGGGGGGTCAGCGCATGAGCCGGCGAAGAACCTTGTTAGAGATTTTTGTTTGTAAACCCTTTAATAAAAAAATAAATTAGGAAATAAATATTTTTTAAAAAAAGCCTTTTTGAGCACCAAGCAACAAATAGATACTTTTGTTTCCCATTTTGACCACTTATGAGAGAAAGCGAAGATGGAAAAGAAGAAGCAGACAGATGGGGTGGGTGCAGGAGCTCTGATGAAAAGGAAAAAAGAAAAAAGTGGGGGAGGAAGCTAGGCTGGCTGGCACTGGGCACCGGCTTTCTGGGGGCCCCAACACTGACTAACCTTCTTGAGGGCTAGAGACAGGCCTCTTGGCTTGAAAAGAGACCCTGGCTGCCTTCATATTAAGGTTTCCAAATACACAACACCGAGAAGCGGCTTGAATTTCCCTTAACGTTCAGGAAGTCTTGCACACACATGCAGAGAAAGACAGGTTATAATGTTCTGCCGAGGTAATCCTGGAGGTGAATGTTGGTTTACTATCTCTTGCCTAAAACCCCCTCCAGAATTCACACGCTGGCACGGTGGCAGGCTGCGTCTTACTATTGATATGAGACTTCGCTTCATCCCATTTGTTTGACAGTTTTATGGGAAGCCACAGTGATTTCTATAGCTTTGGACTCCAAAAATATTCAAATATATTTTCTTTTCTAGTTAGGCCCCGATGGCTTATAAAATAGAAAGAAGAAGGAAAAAAAACTCAAATATATTGATCTGGATGCTGAATAATACTCTCATTTTTCAAGGAAATAGCCCTATTTTGGCAGATAAGGAAAGAGTTACTATTGCAGTCCACTGGCTTAGTAATTACTGTATTTCAAGCTCAGGCTTGGCTAATTACCAGGTCTATAATCTTCCCCTGTACACTGAAAGAAATAAAAGAGAAAAATTGATGGCCTGAACGGTGGCCCGATGTTCAGAGCACCTTTGCTAGAATCTACAGTCTAGGGCTGTCCTCTGCTGAAAACAGCAATGCAATCGAGTGAGAGGTGGCATGGATAATGCCTAGGCCACAAAACACAATTATCTAGCACTGAAGATGTTGGGAGAAGATGGTTCTTCATCTTCACTTATTGCTATATTGCTCCCAAACGAAAAATAATAATTTGTGCCTGGAAGGCAACTCTGCAACCTTCCGCTCACCCATGTACAGAGGACGAAACAGAGCCCAAGAAGTTTGTTTCTCCAGGTTTGTGTGGCTACATCGAAATGCCGCAGCGCTCACTTTTGAGGTTTAGACCTGTCCTCGGGCTTCTGAAAATCCTTGAAGGGGATCATCACTCAAGACACTTTTGTTTCTTTGAATATGAACTCATTCACTTTCTTCTTGTGCACCACTACCCCCAATTTATTCAGCATATATATTCTGCCTCGGTGCTTTTAAATAATATTTCACAATGGGGATTTATACAAAGATTTAGAGGTTGGTAGTTTTTACATAGAAATTTACAGCCAATGTATCTTTCAGGTGCACACTTGTCTAGGGCAGTGACATTTGTTTTAGCTCAGTCAAGCTGATACAGAAAAACACCATAGTCTTTACAGGGGTGGGGTAATGTCTAACGAGCTTTTACAGGGGTGGGGTAATTTCTCACAGCTCTGGAGGCCAGAGAACACAAGACAAAGGCCAACAGACTGGTTGCTCAATGAGGCGGCAATCCCTGATTCACAGACAGCCATCTTGCTTTGTCCTCCTACTGCAGTGAGGGGGCCTTTGGGAGTCTCCTATATGAAGAGACTAATCCCACCCATTAGGGCCCCTGTCCAGTGTGACCTGACCGCCTCCCAGAGAATCCCTCTAACGCCACTACATTGGGCAGCAGGATTTCAACATGTGAATTTAATAAGAAAAAAAATCTGTCCAGTCCGTAACAACTTCTAAATTATGTGACATATGGACACTCCGAGTAATCATAAAATACGATTTTCAAAATGTCTTTCCTTTTCATTGTCAATATAGCACATGGCCCAAACTCCCCCTTTTATAGAGGAGTCACCTCTATTATATTAGTCCTAGTGGCGGCTGGGTTTGTTTCCTAGGATCTGCTAGATTTTTAATTTATAAGCTGTCACAATGCATAAACACGGTTATCGAGATTCTTGGCTTCCACGGCATCACCTTGTTTGTGTTGACTTTACGTTTCATCTATGTTTCATCTATCATTGTATTATTCTGAAATTCTGACAGAACAATCTGGAATTCTTGCCGTTCCCCTCCAGCCCTTCATGAACCAATAATTGTGTCCTAATAAAAATGCTAAAATCTTGTGTCTGTTTCTCAATGCTCTTCTTACAAAGGAAAATTAAAGGTATAGATCCACAAAATATTTCCAAAATGCAGAGGCACTCAGGTGACTTCGCTGTCCATCTCCTGCCTGTTTAACATGTGTATCCAAGTGTTGCTTCCTTCCCAACGCCTCCTGCCTCCTCCCTCTGCCACTTATCCTAGAGAAAACTGAAATGTTGGCATCTAAATCAAATCATGTCTTCAGCTTTTATCCCCTTTATTTCTTTCATTAAGAGAAACCACAGCTTTAGAGCATACCAATCTTCAACCGGTCTCATTGCCTGTGAAGTCATCCTTGTGAAATCATCAATGTGGGGGAGCCCGAGAATGCAGCTTTCTGGGGTTTCCAGCCGGCCATCTCCTGCTCTGGAATCTGCTCTGGGGGAGTGCGGAAGAGCATCACTGTGCAGCGTGAATGCTCATCTTTGCTAGGTGCCCTTCCTTCTCTAGGTATTCATCTGGCTCGTCCAAATGCACATCCTTCATCATAGCTATGCAGACCCACATATGGATGTACACAGGACATACGCTTGGGACAGTTGTTTTCCCATAAATCAGAACATTCTGACAACCTAGCCATCCTTTCTCAAGGAGCAAGCATAGGCTAAAGCCGCCTGTGCTAAAGGGCTCATAGAAACTCACTGTTAATTCAAGAATGCCTGCTGGGGTTCCAATGATTGGGTCCCAGGCCCAAGGCAGCAGGCTTCTTTGGTGCAAGGCTAGTCTTTTGCTTGTCCAAATTTTTTGGTCTTTCTTTTTAATGCCCCTTACCCAACTCAAATAAACTAATAAGGTGGGTTCCTTTGGCCCCAAAAATAGATGAGAAAATATTAAATGGGTATAGTATAGGTTGGGTATCTCTTATCTGAAATGGCTGAGACCCAACAACTTCCCATTTCCGATGTTTTTCTAGATTTTGCATTTCTGTATGTGTAGTAAGAATCCATTCCCAACACATCCTTTGAATCCTCCCATAACCATGTAGCTGTTCCCTATTTGTAGGCACTGTGCTAAATGCTAGAGGGCGGGGTGTCCCTTTCTAGTTCAGATCCCTCCTGATTTTGATTATCTCTCTAGGCATATACAGATATCTTGGGGATGGGTCTCAAGTCGATACACAAAACTCCCTCATATGTTGCATTAACTCCAGAGCCTAGCGGTAATTCTGTATAATATTTTTAGTGCACCTGCTTTTTAACCGTGGGATTTCTCTACCATACACAGACACTCAGAAACTTTCAGATTTTGGAACATTTTGGTTTTCAGATTTCCATATTAGAGGTGCTAAACCTGCCCCAGGATTTCTGTATGTAAAATGTAAATATCTAAAACCTGCCCTGAGGCCGCTAGAAAGACTCTACGGCAGTAACAGATAACAGAACATTCATTCTAGAAATAGGACACAAAGCTGTCACCAGAGACATGCTCGGGCGTCTCTGTGATGAAAGCCAGTTGGTCCAGAATACACAAATGTCTCCTGTGACAATCCCTGTCACCAGAGCTCCTCCCATTTTCCCCCCTGGGCTCTTAGGGAGCTTTTCCTGTGTCCTTGTTATAGCACTTCCTGTTGCATTACATCTTACCTTTCCATTTACTTCTCTTTTTATGTGTATGAGTGCTTTACTCCAACGCATGTTTACGTACCACATGCATGCCTGGCACCCGCAGAGGTCACAGGAATTTTAGTCCAGACAAGACATAGGCATGTAATCATGTTACTTTTATTTGCATTAAATCTTAATATACTAAACAATATACTTACTTCCATTGAGGAACTAACTGATCATGCTCTATGCAAATAAAATTTACATTTGTAATCTTTAATTTTTTTCTTCTAACGGACATGGTGGCACATGCCTTTAATCCCAGCCCTGAGGAGGCAGAGACAGACATACCTCTGATATCCCTTTGAGTTCCAATCCAGCTTGCTCTACATATTATAGAGTTACAGGCCAGTCAGCGCTGCATTCGTCCCTGTCTAAAATGAAAAATAAACTCTTCCGATCAAGATGACTAGAAAATCAAGGAACAGGTGAGCATGGGGGCCCATGCCTGGAACATCAACACTTCGGATGCAGAGTTGAGTGGATCATCACATGTTAAGGCAGTCTGGCCTACACGGTGAGTTTCAGGCCAGGTGGACTACAGAGGAAGACCTTATCAGAAAGGAAGAATTGAATAAAGAAGAGAGGGAGGGAGGGAGGGAGGGAGGGAGGGAGGGAGGGAGGGAGGGAGGGAAGGAAGGAGAGTCGGAGAACAGATATATTCAAAAGCACTTACTTTACTTGTTCAGTTTTCCCTTACTAGGCCTGTTTTCTTTTACATAAAAGTGATACTTGTGCGCCCTCTAGTGGGAATTCTATTCAACAATGGAAATTCTACAAAGACACTATCCAAGGAAAGCCATGGACAAAAAAAAAAAAAAAAAAAAAAAAAAAAAAAAAAAAAAAAAAAAAAAACCGCCAAAGGACAAAGAGTGTTACCAGTTTCCATAGGACACATCTAACAAAAAAGAGAAATTAAAACCAATAAATGAGAGTAGCCAAAAGGCAATTTTAACTTGAGATTATTTTGGATATTCAAGGGCAGATGTCAAGTAAGCGGGCAAAAGTTCAAGGGAAAATATCATAAGAGCAGTAGAGAGAAATAGGCAGGGGAGTGCGTAGGGAGAACCAGCAAAGACTGGACACAGAGATGGTCCAGAGATAGTCCGAGAAAGACTATGCTTTGAAGAAGAATGTTTTAGTTACTTTTCTATTGCTATGATAAAAACACCTGACCAATGCAGTTTATAAAAGAAAACATTTAACTTTGCTTACAGTCTCAAGAGATTAGAGTCCATGGTGGCAGAACAAGAAACAGCTGAGAGCTCATATCTTGATCTACAACCAGGAGTCAGAGAGAGGTGGGTGGAAGAGGAAAAAGAGAAGAGAGAGAGAGAGAGAGAGAGAGAGAGAGAGAGAGAGAGAGAGAGGGAAGAGGGAGGGAGAGAGAGAGAGAGAGAGAGAGAGAGAGAGAGAGAGAGAGAGAGAGAGAGAGAGAGAGCGCCTAGGAATGATAGGCATGCTTTGGAACTTCAAGTCCGCCCCTAATGGCACAACTAGTTCCTTCAAGAGGTGACACCTCCTAACCTGTCTCAAACAACTCCACCAAGTATTCAAATGTGTGAGCCTGTGGGAGTCATTCTCATTCAAACCACCACAAAGAAGGAAAACTCAAGAAATCTCAGTGGAGCTGGGGGAACAGGAAAAGCAACAGTAGCAGGTGGCATTTAGGGGGTTTTTGCTCCAAAAGGAGCCTGCACTTCAGGCAGAAGCTACCGGAATGTGTGGTAAAGAGAAAATAAAAAAGAGGGGCTTTCACTGAAGAATTGGGGTATGGCATACACCTAACTATATCTTCCAAAGCTTTTTTTTTTAACATGTTGGGACTCTTGTATTCTTCAAACATTATATCTGAAATGAAAATTGCCAAGCTGGTGCTGATGCAAATGCCACAGCTCTCATCTTAAAGGGAATAAGAGTTTATTCTGGGCCAGGCAGTGGTGGCGCATGCCTTTAATTCCAGTACTTGGAGACAGAAGACGGTGGATCTCTGTGAGTTTGAGGCCAGCTTGGTCTATAGAGTGAGTTCCAGGACAGACTCCAAAGCTGCACAGAGAAATCATGTCTTAAGAGAAAAAAAAAAAAAAGAGTCTTTCCCTGAAGGCCTTATTTTTTTTACCTTGTATTTCTTATAGTCAGGTATGATTCTTTTTCCTTCCCATCTGGCTTTCTGAGATAATTCTTATCTTTAGAATCACCAGTACACTGGCCCATCATTGCTTCACACAAGTGTTCAGTTACTAGTCAAGGATTTTGTCCTCTGGTACACTTTCAGCAGTGTCTAGAAACATCTTCCATTGCCAGGACTGGAGGGATGCTATGAGCATCTGATGCTGTCCGTCCGGGAGAGGAGCTGCAGAACAGCACAAAAACTCAAGACAAATGCTGGGCGGTGGTGGCGCACGCCTGTAATCCCAGCACTCGGGAGGCAGAGGCAGGCGGATCTCTGTGAGTTCGAGGCCAACCTGGTCTACAGAGCTAGTTCCGGGACGGGCAGCAAAGCTACAGAGAAACCCTGTCTCGAAAAACAAAAAACAAAAACAAAAAAAAAAAAAACAACTAAAGACAAATGCTGTAATAGGATTAACTGCTCCCAGATGTCTTTTATGTAAAAGTTAAAGAACTGTGCTATAGATCACATTAAAACTGAAAATGCACA